AAAAAATATATATATATATCAAAAAAGAAAACAAGAAAAAAAATGTCCGTTTGACAGAATTTAAGTTTGACTGGATTGATGAGCTAACAGCTGGTCTGAACTATAAGCAAAGAGGATTTATGCTGTCTTAAAACAACTCCAATCCCACAAGTTCTATTGTGGATTATGTGAGCTCCATTTGCATTGCCAGTAGTTTTATGTGGCATAGTTATCAAAGGTAAAGGTGGAAAGCTTATGTTTTTACCTAAATTTGTGTGGTCATGTTGCATCAGTAAAATATCTCACAAACAACTGGATGGATCCTAATGAAACTTTTAGAAAGTAATCATTCATTAATTTATTAATTTTTGGAGGCAACCCGATTCATGGTCGCCAGAGCAAAGCACACTTAGCAAACACAAGAGGGACTTCAACCCAGTCAATTCTACAAATACTGAGATTAAAATCTGATCTAGTAGTAGACTTTAATTTTAATAGAATTCACTGGTTATCTTTGAGTGCAAACAGTGGCAGCAGCAGTTAGCTGTGGCTTAACCAGTGTAGCATGAAACTTTTTTTTTGGCTAGACTATACTCTAAGTACTTTGGTTTCCTCTCACCACATACATTGTTAAAGGAGGTTAACTGGTAACTCTAAACTGTCTCTATGTGTGAGCGAGAGTCTCATTGTCTCTATGTGACTCTGTGATGGACTTGTGACCTGTCCAGGTTTATTCTGCTGGAAATAAGCACCAGTTCCCCCATAACCCTGTACAGAAAATGAGGTAAAGAAAATGATGAATGGGTAAGCACTGCTTGATGAACTACTATTACATTTTCAAGACTAGAGTTGTTTTAAGATGGCAGTAATCTGTTAGTTTTTAATTTGTTTGGACTAGCTGTTTGGTCGAGTCAAGAATGAACTCAATTTCTTCACACTGAGGTTGTTTCCACAGAACCCCATCTCCAAGAAATCTGAACTATTGCTTTTATACAAGCTAATGAAAGCACTGGTCTTAAAACAGGGCTTCTCATTTGAAATCAAATGCAAAGGCTAAAAGATCCTAACGAAAAGTCCTTATCAGCTCTACAATGAACTGTACCTCTGATTTACAGAGCTCCTTAAAGTGTACCAAATGGCAACAATGACACACAAGGTCTCCAATGTCAATTTCCTCTTTCTTGAGCTCAAACCCTGCAGCATAATATTACAGATAATTACCAAACATGCGGCTCACCCAGTGCTGTTGGATAGAAAGGACTGGAGTAATTTTCTGCTGCGGTGCTGCAGCAGCGGCAGCCGCTTTCATTCCTTAATTGCATCTGGCATCCATCCACCACCCAGTTTGACTTCATTATGAGATGGAGGTATTCTCTCTTAAATGACTTCTACTCAATTATGCCACCAAGTTCCTCCCTACAATCGCGCTGAACTGTGCATGTTGTATTCAACGATGGCTTTCAAACCAGCTTAGACATATTACACCCTATTGTTTGATTTAATAGTCCCGGTCATTCAGGCTCACGGCAGATAATTCTACCTCTTACTAAGGGTTTTCTACTAATCCTCACCTCCTTGATTTTCCTTTCACTAGTTTTATGTGTCACTCAAACAAGGTATTGTTCTTACCGGCTACTGGTGAAATCCTACCGCTTTGATTTGCATTGAGCGGTTTGCCTTTGTTCAAAAAGTTATTTTGACATGCAGTAATGTCACAACTCTCAGATGTGATTACACAGAACCTGTTTTCTGTGGCTCACAGGTACCATTTAGCTTTAGAAGTTACTTAAAACAAGGACACAGATTATGTACAGGGTCCTGGAAGCATGATTTGACTTATATTCTGTGTGACTCTTCTAAAGTTACACTGACATAAAACGCAAGAAAAGTTGACAGCACACAAGATTTGCCGTAAGCATTGCAGGGCGTAAATAAGCATCATTGGGTGAGTTTTTCAAGATCATAATCTCAGTCTTCATGGAGCAAACCTCCAGGGATGAAGAATGAAACAAACATATTGGTGATAAAAACTGCAGTACCTCAGCCAACATAATGAGTCAATCCCCATAAAGGATTTTGTTACATCGCTAAACACAGAATAAATAAATCTTTAATGAAGTTGTACTACTTAACAGGATCCAAGTTTTGATTTTTGCAAAACTCCAACCTGCCAATTCAGAGTTTAACCAGTTAGAGACAATTAGCAACAACATAAAGTTAAAGTTACTCACTGCAACATACACAGATGATCCTGAACAACATAAAATGGTTCAGTCAGAAAAACTTCACTCTAGTAGTTGTTCAGATATATTCAAATGCAATCTTGAAATTTCGTATTTTTAAATGATATGGACTACTTTTTGTCTGAAAATAAAGTATTAAGGTACACTTTGCAAAACTTGCCACAAACCACGCGGATGCTTGAGTCATGTGATTGCCCTACTTTAGGCTGAGCATAGTCTCTGTACGTAAACAAATTTGGTGGACTTGAACAAACAAAGTATCTCAAAGAATATGCATA